ATCTGCTTACTTTCCAAGCTTACAGACATTAAAGGCTCACAATGCGCATCCAAACGCTAATTTCTCCAGTACTAGACTAGCAAATACTTCGTGTCATGCATAATCACACTACCTTATGACAAAATAAACTCTAGTTGCTCCCATTTCACTGCGCGTTTGCTTAAAACCCACAAGAAAGAGGTGAGAAAACTGGCATTCTGGCGCAACCGCCGACCGTTTGCCAAACAATATAGCCTCGAAGTGGTGACGTGACGTAACATGTTTTTATCTTTGCTGCGCCCGTACCGCAGAACCGCTGCACGGTTGCTTGGGGATTGGGGAAACTGTCAATAACATCGGAGAATTTGAACAACATTGGAGGTATTTTCAAATACCAGACAACGCGCAGTGAAATGGGAGGAACTAGAGTTTATTTTGTCATAAGGTAGTGTGATTATGCATGCCACGAAGTATTTGCTAGTCTAGTACTGGAGAAATTAGCGTTTGGATGCGCATTGTGAGCCTTTAAATAATTGGGTAAAAATGCTACAACACCAGAACACGGTCACAATACATTAGTATATATGGTTGATAGCTGTGTAACTGTGTAATGTAATGTTCAGCACAAAAGCAGAATAGAGAAAATATCTACCTCTGTTTTTTCCTGTTTTTTCTTTAGAAACTCTTTAGCCTTTTTCTGCAATTCTCTTTCTTTTGATGTCATGTCCATTTCCATCTTCTTCGAATAAAAATTAAATATAGATAATTACACATAAAACAGCACGTATGCATTCAAACAAAGATCAGACACGTTAATCTGACATTGGTTCATCATGCTCACAATAAGCACATTTACGTAAAGATAAATATGCTTTAAACATATTTCATCAAACAATAATAGTACTTACAAGACATGGCCTTGCTGACACAGATACTTACTTTTGCTGGTTCTTCTGGATGTCCAGTTGATCCTTTCTTTTTCTTCTCCTCTTCATCTTCCTCCTCTTCTTCCTCACTAGAGGAAGACTCTTCTGAGGCCTTTTCACCTTCCTCCTCATCTTCCGACTCCATGTCGAGGATCTTCAGATCAGTATCTGTTCCACCCTCCATTTTAATTACAGCTAAAAAGAGAAGATTTAATGCAACATAAACACAAAACACAACGACAACAGATTTTAAATTACATGAAAAAAAAACTATTATGCTACCTGGCCTCGAATACACAATTTAGTAGTGCAGCAAACATTCTTCCAATCTGCCTTTGACAAGGAGATGGAACAATGACGCTTCTCTCACACCGCACACCTGCAAGCAATCCAGGGTCAGGCAATGGTCAAGGTCGAGGCAGGGGCAACGTTGGTGAGGGTCAAGGTCGAGGTCAAGCTGGGTTCATGGTGAGGGTCAAGGTCGAGGAGCCTCGACTCGAGCCCTCAACCCCCTGACCACCCAAGCGTTGACCTCGGACCATCACCTGACCTCAGCTTCAACCTCGAACCCTCACCCCAGAGATTGCCCAACCACTACGATTTTTATATTTTTTTATCATTCGCGTATTTTATTACGAAATTTCTATTCCCTTTTGCACTAACTACGACCCGCAGTTTTGTATCATCAAAGCGGTACGAATTTGCAAACGAATGGGTGATCGAAAAAAAAAAAAAAAATTATTTTGGTCTGGTTTCAGTCACTATACAAATACACAGGGGAAAAAAATAACCACAGGGGGCGGCAGGCCGATTTTCGCGCCCCGAGAGAGATGCCTAAAAAGAGGCCCCCGAAAACAATGATATCCGGGGCCAACATCCCAAAGAAAAGTTCATCCTGGAAAATCGATGTCCAGTCGGTCCCGTTGGGACGAAGGGTTAAGGGGTTTGCGTGTGGCGCCTTGCCGCCTCGGTCTTCACGCTCGCCAGTTGGCTGCGCCTGCGATGTGCCTAGGCCCTCTCGCCGCTTTATGCCGGCCGCGCGGTCCACGGCGCGGTAGAATTCATCGGTACGGTGTGAACTGTCAGTGTTTACGCAGTTTAAGCATGCATGGTTGTGTACTACTGTAGAGCTGTATTGCATTCAATCAAAGCGCAGCACTGCGCGCGCCTCGCGGGCGGTATATACGTGTGTGCTGTGCGCGTGCGTTTGCGTGTTGTGCCTGCGCGCGTAGCGTGCTTGTGTTGAGCGGAGAACTTCCCGTATAAAAACAATTCGATCCTCCATCGGCCTCGTAACTAAGGCCAGACACTCCACTATTTGCGCTAGCGTAATACAAATGTTTCAAAATGTGCGTGCAAGCGTATTGTAACTAGCAATTTAGACGAAGTAGACGGGTGTGTGTGGTGTGTAAAAATTAAATAAATGCCCCCCCATCACTCTTTAACTACTTAAATTTGACTGGCCAGAAACTACAGAATTGCTTTTCACCATGATATGTTGGCATCTCTGCCTCACGCGATCGCCTGACCCGCCTAGCTCGACCGGCATTGACCCCAGCTTGAGCCGATCCGACCCTCACTGACCTCCAGCGTCTTACCCGTTTGACGCTCGGAG